GGCAGTGGCTGAGGGGTCAGAGGACTAGCTGGCCTTGGGACTGTCTTCGCGACTTGTGCTGCTGAGGGGGTAGAACCACCTTGTTTTTTCTTCGCCCTTACGTGCCTTGAGGATGCGGCCTCAGAGTAGGACTGTCTGGTCTTGCCAGGTAGGGGGTTATCTTGGTTGGGGATGCCGGGTAGGAATTCAGCCAGGTCGGGGTACTTGCCATGCCTCCATTGCTGTGCTTCCCATGTCTTCGGGTATTAGGCCACGAAGGCAGCAGGATTCTCCCGGTACTTGCCTATTGCTGTGTCATAGTTTGGGAGGTCAGGGTCATAAAATGCTGGGTATCCCGAGTGTAGGACCTCAGGGAGAGTTGGGGCAGAGGTGTTGGTGGCTGGCTCTTTGCCCTTTCGGGAAGGCCGATGGAGTGGGGCAGTGGGAGCCAACACAGGCGGTTGGGTTGGAGGAGCGGGGTTTGCTACCAACCTAGTGGACAGATCCCTGATGTACCAGAGCTTCTTCTTTTTTTTTTTTTTTTTTTTTTTTAAAATCATTTAGTTACTTGTTTAAGGTATAAGAACATCGCATACAGCGCTAGCTATGGCGTTAAGAAAACCCCTCCACCCCGGACCAAGAGAAAACCCGTACCCCTAAGACCCTCTGGTATGGGCCCAACCGCACACACTCCAAGGGCGACCAGCTCAGGTGCCCAGCCCACAGGCCTCACGACTTGAACGCGAAAGGGTCTCGCTTAGAAGCCAACCAAAAGCCCAAGAAGATTCCTCGCCTGAAAGAAAACCCTACCCACTAACTACACGTAGCCAACAGGAAGGAAACCAAACAAGCTAGGCAGGAAAGCATAAGGAAAAACTGCATCCTGTAAACTACAAGACCGATAGGGCCACAAAAGAAAATAACCACTGCCCACCGTACCACCAGATTTGCCGTTATTTAAAGAACCGCCCCCGAAGTAGGCGGCCGGCGACGAGCCCTAAGGCTGAGCGCCCCCAACCAGCTAGGCCACAGATGTAGTCCAATACTATGGCCCGCCAATCGAGAACAGAGGCCACGGTGCCAGGCCCAAGGAATGGATGCATGGCAGAGGGGGTGCCGCCCAGTAGTAGGATGCCAGCCAAAGGAAGGAGGTAGTAGGGTACCAGCCAAGGAGAGAAGGCAGTAGGGTGCGAGCCGACGCAACCGAAGTGGAAAGTGGAGGTAGGGCCAAAGGCCACAGTGCAAACCCGACCGTAGACCGAACCGACGTATTACCACGTCTCTCATGTAGTCCCTTGTTCTCCGAGAGATAACGTCACTTAGTGGAAGGGATCCCACCGGCGGCAGGGAGATGGAAGGGCGAGGTAAGGAAGGTAACCAAACTTGAACCAAGCGACTAGGAGGGCATGGTCAAATCTCACCGCGAGACAGACCCCGAAGTTACTAGCCGAGGCGTTCCCCAACGGGGATCGTGCAAGTGGGGAGAAGGACGTCTACCACTGCTAGTGACGTCCGGAAGCGAAGAGAGGAAGCCGACCGTGCCAAAGCTAAGCGAGCCCCTATTAGTAAGACAGGACTACTGGGCGAGCCCAGATAACTCCCCCATCAAGCAGACAAGAGACTAGCGAGGCCAAAGCTGGAGAGGATGGTAGAGTTAACCGTGCCCCTAGGCAGGAACCATCATGGCGCAAAGGGGAGTGGGAGGGCCCACGATAGTTGATGTGGTGTTGCCAAACTATGTGGGAGGAAAATAGGAGCGACGGAGTGTGGAAATTTCATTATATCCTATATCTGTATATTTATATAGGATATAAATTTCCTTACTTAAGTCTACTCTGACTCTAAAGGTATGTGGTAGGGTCACGGTGGAGGTAGCTGTTATGGTGATAAGGGGTTATATAGTTGCGATCCAGTAAGACAAACACTTACTTAACACGACTGTATGTATAGGCAGGAATCTTTGTGGAGGCAGAGGGGAGAGGAGGGAATTTACCCTAGTTGATATGGTGTTGGAAAACTATGTAGCAGGAAAATAGGAGTGACAGAATGCAGATACCAGCATAGATAATGACCTAACCCTTTATAATAGCTGTTGTATCTTTAAGATTATTAGATTCAAGGTGAATGCTATTATTTCTACTTTATCTTTATTTATAAATTTGTCTTTAATTTCTATTTTACAAAATTTCTACAATATAGCTGTTTAGTAATATAATAATATATTAAATATTTTAACTATTATGAAATAATTATTTTTAAGCAAGATTGTATAAAAGCTTTATCATAAAACTTACTAATTCTAAGTATCACATACTATCATAATACGACTTTATTTAATTTCAATTGATTCTTGTTACATCTTTATGAAAACTGCTGCTGATATTCCTTCAATTAATAAAGTAATCAATCAAGATAGATCAAAATTCATATTACCTTTAGTACCCACACTCTTCTTTTTTCAAAAGCACTGAGACTTTAAGGTGTATTTTATTAGACAATACTATCAATCGATTACTTATGGTAACTTAAGATTAACTACTCTATCCATACAAACACGTTTTCTGAAAGCAGATAGTTTAAATTACGCAACCTCCATTTTTTTAGGTCAAACTATTTCAAAGTGGAATGACAAGTAATGGATCCTTTTTCACTAAATCAGCTTTTTCATACTCGCATGACCTAGCGCCCTTGGCAGGTGTAATACTATTGGCAAATGGCAATCTCAAACCGATTTAGGACCTGCTTGTACTCGGGCGTGGAAGTAAAAATTGAGCAATACCGGGATATGAACAAGGAATCTCAGGAATCATAAAGATAACCTATTGGAAAATGCAGGGGAGTCTGGAAAGGCAAAAACCTAGAGTTGTTATATCTTGATCATCATAAAAGCCAGCCATTACATTTCTCATTATAATAACAAAAAGACTTGAAACTTAAAAGTACGAAATCACAGATAGCACAAATTCCTTCCCTGTACCGGGATTCCTTCCCCCTAAGTCAATTTTGCCACAGAGTCTACCTAGTTTTACATTATGAATTTAGAGAGAGATTGGTTAAAAGAAAAAAGAATAAAAAAACGAAGCTGAGAGAAAGGAAAAAAAGAAGGAAAGAAAGGTGAAAACTGGTGAAAACTATGATTACCACTTGGTATAACCACCGCAGACAGTAATAAGATTATGAATTTGCTCAGACATTGAGAACATAAGATTGGTAATCATTTCTGGATCAAGGTTATCCCATTTCTCCTTGATAGCCTGTTTGAGTTCTGAAAAGTTGATGGGTCTGGGGTTATGCTTACTGATATTGCGCTTTATCTTCTTCCAGACTTCTTCAATGGAGGGCATATCTGGTAAGCTGGGTGGCCAGGGGAAAAGATATGAGCCTATACCAATTTGATTGAGTTCATTGATAGTGTTTTTAGCTCGGTAAGCTGCAGTGCTATGTTGATGCAAATAGATGTATTCCAAGTGACTACCTTGCTGACAAAGTTGTAGCTACTATGGTATAAGAACAGGATGGATGATGCATTCAAGATATGTTTGAGAGGAAATTTTGCCCCAGCTATCTATTTCCCAAATGATGAGCTCTAGCTTTTGACTACCACAGATCATACTTCAAACTATAATGGTTGTGAGTTTTTTGAACCTAAGTACAAGGCAATTTTCATCATACTCTTCAACTGCCTTACAAGTGACCCATACAGTACCCAACAATTTCCCGCAATTGAAGGCTGCCTCGTCGGAAATGATTATATTACCAAAATTGTTTACATCCTAATCATGGAAATCCATAGCCCAATTGAGCTTGTTTTCTTTAGACTTTATGGTCAAAAATAGCTTAACCTATGCCACATGCCAGTTTTAGTCCTGACTTCAAAAGATACAATGTAAGGATCAATCAGATGCCTTAATTCCCACTAATCTAGCAACCTCAGTCAGCAGAAGGCAGCGGTTATCTGTGCTAGCCATGGCAGTATCAATAAGACGGCAAATAAGTGAACCCGTAAAAACTGGCTTGGGATTATGCTGACTATTGGTATTTTGGATGTGTGTAGTGGTGGCTGTACCATGGAGGTGGCGGTAAAGGCTTCACATAGGTATGTTGTATTTCTCATAAAGCTGCTAGTAGGTCTAACCATAATGACGGAGATGTCTAATTGTATCACAAGTTGCAGGTATTACGGTTCGGTCTGTTTTCTTCAGACTCGGAATTTCAGGCTCGTCATTTTCTTTCTCTCCTTCTGAGTCCTCAATTGCCTTTTAGATTACTGGTTAGATTAACTTTATTCTCAATTCTGAGTCTATTACTTCAAGTACTAAACTAACCTTTCTCATAGGTGTAGGAGTCATTTCAAGTTCATATCCAAGTTGTTGATTGTGCTATTCAATATACTTATCAAATGACATATCAGCAACCCCTTCGACAGAGCTCATAGTACTACTATCGGTGGTAGCAGGTAGAGATTTGGAGACTTGTGAAAGGGCACACAGAGATATAGTGCCAGGCAATATCACTACTTGTGATAAACGGAATACTTATTTGACAAAGGCTATTTGATTTAACAAAATCAACCACTTTTATTTCTAACCTTCTCTCGAAACCTGATTCTTTTATTTTACCATTCTAACATCATACCAGTCCAATACCAGTGATCATCAGTCTCATGTTACGTCTGCCCAGTATTGGTCTGGGTACTTGGTATCTCAGGCATGCAGATCTTTTCAGCAATTCTAGCCAACTCAGCCTTCATGGCAACGGCAGGGTTCTCTGGAGAACTCGATTTTTACTTCCATGCCCGAGTAGCGTTCCTCACAACGGATCGACTATTTCAGAGACCGCAGTCGGATTTGGAAGGCTTGCTGTGGCTTTTATTGCTGCGACGTTTGTGATTGAATAATTTACGGCAGTGCTATTCCGCAAATTCCTTAAAGAAACCATGGCCCCCCAAACTCTCGACGCAAAACAAGGGTAAAATATAATAAGAGCTCAAATCTGGATGGAGGACAATGTTGCCGGTAGAGCTAGACCTCTGCTTCACCGTCTAGGACTCTTCTCCTTTCCAGGTGTATCTCCAAATCATCTAACTCCCAAGGGACACCAGGCTTTCTGCCGCTCCATAACTTCCTCTCACTCTCAACAAACTCCTTCACACCCTTCATACAAACCACCAAGAACCCCAATTCTTCTCGTTCACAATCAAACACATCCCACCACGCAGCAGGCAATTTAACCTCGCATTCCCGAGCACCGATATATACCGCAGCAACAGCCAAAGAGTTTGGTTGATGTGTTAGGTATAAAAGACTTGGCGAAAGCAAGGCATCCGTCAGGTACCCGAACGATTTCTTCACTACCTCGGCTGAGAGCACGGAGAGTGACTGGATGTAGTTTATGCAAAGGGTGTACGGCAACGAAAGATGTGTTTGAAATCCACAGGCTTTAAGGATTTCCATTTCGACATTGAGTAGGCGTGTTCTCCTGATGTAATATTCCTGCTCTGTAACGTAGTGCTCTTCCGGGGGTGTCGATCCTTGGCCGGCTGCCGGGGCAGGGGAGATCGGCGAAGGTGATGGAGTATTTAGTAGATAAGTAGTCACATTTATAATATCTCGAGGCGTCGCCGGATGCTCTGTGAGCTTCGACGATAAGAATATAACGGCATGACAGGAGTCGGTAATCGCGCAAGAACGCATGCTGGATAGAAGGTAGAAGCGTTGGAAAAGGACTATTGCCGTAGCAACTGTCTTCTGCGGCCTAAGACAAGTCAGAAATCTGATTGTAGCTTTGAGAAGATTCAAGAAACGGAGTGTGTAGAACAGCATACAATCGCAAAAGGATACCGGCAGCTTGAATAAGCTCGCTTCCCGCCCATCTCAATGACGTCTCTAAGTCAGCCGGAATTCCATCAGCCTGACTCGGTGATGAGGCAAGCTGATCCGCTGTTGCAAGGGGGTTGCGGAGAAGGGAGACCATGTCGGCTTGGTTTGTACTTGCATATAGGGGAGGAGACAGCGGTTTTGTATTGCACAGCTGTGCCAACCAGCCGGCAGGTGTGCTGGGAAATGAGAAGTAGGTTAGCGAAAAAGAAAAAAAAAACCTGGGGTAAGGAACCATTGGAGGCAACGCGAGGATCCGTTGGAGGGTCCACATTTCATAGAATTTTGTGAATGGACAGGGCTAAGATGCGGTAGCCAAACTACGGTATGGTGCCGGCACCTTAGAATCAACCTACGTATCCGGCAAAAACAACACCACTTTGATCAACGGAAACAGCACAACCACAAATTAATAATGTAAATAGCGCTGTAAAAGCAAAGGTAAAGTGAATCAAAAGGACTTTACACAAGGAATAACAAAAAAAAAAAAGGAGAATAGAGAAACAAGAGTTGAAGACAAAAACAGAAATTATGAAAGACACATGAGCTCTCAGCAGTATAAGGAAAACAATTAGAAAGCGCTCGATATAAGATAAATACAAGTAGCAGCAGAGGAGCCAGTACTGGTAGATGACAGGTGAGAAATCAGAGTTTTAGCCTGAGGTGCAGCCAGGTCGATTAGCCCCGAGGACGATTCTTCAAATAGATGGTTGAAGGAGGAGGAGGAATTCTCTGAGAGGGCTTGGACGAGAAAAGATACGTTAGAGGATTCAGAGTTGAAGTTTGATATTATAAGCAACTTAAGTGATGAAGAAGATGAACAAGAGGATTTGAATATGGATAAGAGTAGGGTGGAGAGCAATAAGGACTAACCTTCCTCAAGCTTGAAATATCAAGAAATTACAGATAAAAATTCAGCATTTGATGCAATTAAGATGTACCATAAGAATACACAGCTCAAAGATGATAAGAGTGCATTGAAGGAAGGAGGTGGAGTTAATTTGGAAGGCGAAAATCAAAAGAGTCGCAAGTTAGGTTCTTAAAGGACATTTTTTGGAGAAAAAGCAAGAGGCATGAGAGAGAGCCAAAGCAGCTTCAGAGTGCTTGTCAATTAGACCAATATTTGAATAAGAAAAAGCTTGAGGTATTAGGATTAAGGAACAGGGCAACGGAGAAGAGAGTAGCCTTGAAGGAGAGAACCTGGAGTATGGGACTGGATAAGAGGGAAATGAGAACTCAGAAAGGTACTTTTATAATGGTGAGGCAAGTGAGGAAGAGGTAGAAGTGAATAAATGGGCCAGGCAGCCAAACCTAGTGGATTTGCCGCATGAGTATTTGTATCTGGATGAAGAGTATATTCAAAAGTAGGAGAATGGGATGTGAAACTTACACTGCATGTTAGAACACAAAACTGTTTTAAGAAAGCACTTTGGCAAAGAACAGCCAAATCCAGCAATGTTTTAGAGGTATTGTTTGTTAATAAAAATAACAGACCATCCAAGGTACGTGGCAACCATCGCCCATCACCCCTGTCCTACTATTTTCAGCCCCCTCGGAGGAGATTGCATCAACTCAAGAAAAATACAATCATATTATCTGATTCTATTTCATTTAAATACTATGCCTCCTATTCTTCATAGTCATCCAAAAAAGCCTATTCCAACCCATCACCTCTCTGAGTTTACCAAGAGAATAATGTTTGGGTTATACAAGCCTCAGATGAAATATCAGCAGATTTCTGACTACCTTAATATCCTCCTAACAACTGTCAAAACACAATCTCAAAGAAAGACTTGGAAGGCAAGGAGAGGAAGAATAGAGGAAGACATCCTAAGACTACCAAGTTACAGGATGATACTATGGTGGAGGAAGGTCTTGAAAATTGCAATACTACCTATTTTGAGATTGCCCAAAAGGTTGCTCCCAATGTTTCTTCTATAACAGTTAGGAGAAGACTTATACAAAAGCATCTTAAAAAGCAGCTAGCACAAGAGAGGGTTCACATGGATGAGAATCTAGCTCAGAAGATATTGAAATGGATATTAGCTCATAGGTACAGGGCAAGAGAGATGTTAAGGAGGAAGGCAATTTGGTAAGATGAGGTTACTATGTAGAAAGGAGAGGTATGAGGAGAAAATAAGTATTTAGGTACCCAAACAAGAAGTGGAATAAGGATTGTGTGGAACCTACTACTAGGTCAGGAGAGAGGAAGATTAGCCAGATAATGACAGGTTTTTTTTATGGTCAAACTCATAGTCTCTTTTCACCAGTTATTCATGTCAATTATTGAAGATTATAATCAATATAAATTTGTAGGGATATAGGAGGATATTAAGGAGTATCTTGAAGGAGAAGAGGTTTTCTTTATCATTGACAATGCTAAGACTCATTTACCTTTTAGGAAATGGCTCAGATGGCAGGAAATTACTCTTATAGAAATTCTGGCCTATTCCCCAGATTTTAATTCAATTGAACATATTTGGACTCTGGTGAAAGACAAGCTTGTTCATTCGACAAGATCAACATGGGACCGTCAGACGAGTCTGTAAATA